TGGTAAGTGAAAACTAAATTTATATTTATTAAAATTACATGCCAATCCTTCCCTTCCCCCAAGAAGTTCATGGCAGTCTGTCTGGTTCTCGCATCCTCTATTTTGTCCTCTCAATAGCCCCATGATCTAGGGTAGGCTGAGAGAGAGCGACTGGACCAAGGTCACTCATGAAGCTTCATTGCCTGGGCATCCCTGACCTTTGTCTGGTACTCCAGACATTATGGCTCACACACTTGGCCTCTTCCCCTTCCTGCCATGCATCAGATGGTCAGTATAAATGTCTGCTGCTTCTGGTTGTTGAGCCAGTCTTGGAGGGTACTACTGGCTTTGACATTTTGGTATAACAAGAAGGACACACAGAAAGCTAGGAGTGGGGCTGAGAAGGTGGAAAGTTCACGTGGGGTTGGCTGTCAGTTGGAATGACAGTTGAACACACACACCCCAAAGGCTCAGCCCATCTTTTGAGGTACTTTTTCTTGAGCAACTTTTCAAATTGAGGCATCTCCCCAGCCTGGCAGCTGCAAGTAGAGTGGTCTTTTGAGTGAGTTACCAAACTACGCACCGAGTAATCCTTCATAAACATTTAAGATTTATTGCGTCTCTTTTTTTCTTTTCTTTTCTTTGTAAGAAGAAGCGTCTCTCTGAGCTTCTTTTTTTGTGTTCCTGTGTTAGGAATTTGCTGCAAAAATCAAGGGTGTGGATGTGTGTTGTTATATGATTCAGCACTGAAAGACTGTCACAAACCATGTTTGAACTCTTTATTGCCTAAAGTGCGTGAATAAGTCACAAAAGTCACACCACGTTCACATAGGGATGCCAGCCTCCAGGTGGGGCCTGGGGAAATCTCCAGACTACAGAGATCAGTTCCCCCGGAGAAAATGGATGCTTTGGAGGATGGACTCTGTGGCACTGTACCCCACTGAGGTCCGTGTCCTCCCCAGGCTCCACACCCAAATCTCCAGGAGTTTCCCAACCTGGATCTGGCAACTGCTGGTGCCTGGGGGGGGGGTGTCTGGCAACCCTACATTCAAATCCCCATTTTGAAGCAGACCCATAGCTCTATGCTACACCATGGTCACAATAGCAATGAATGGGCACTTTAGGGAAAGGATAACTTTTCCCCATGTGAAATTTTGTACTTTAAGAACTCAGAAAATATGACATCACAATAAAAATGCTACCTCAGGAGTGGGTGCTTGGGCTGTGATCAGCAGACAGGAAACAAAGAATTGCCCAGGAAGACCCTAAGACAGGCATCTAGAACCGCACATACTATGGGCTGACCCACACATTGACCAGACTAAGACCTTCGTACGCATAGAAGGATAATAAAAGCTCATGTACTCCTCACAGGCCTCCAGTGTAATGTGTACAGTGGATGTACAGATAATTCAGGCAATCCAAAGAATTCGGCTCTGAGATGTTTTCAGCGAATTTAGATGAATTCTTAAAAACATTAAGTGGTCTCAGCCCTGTGCTTCAAGTAGGAACTAAGTAATGGTCGCTCATGTTTCCAACAGCTCAAGTGGAAGAAGGGAAGGTGCAGGCAACCGTCAGAGAGCCCCGACCCACAAGTGAGTGATGTTCAAATTAAACATAACCACCTTAGAGCGGGAGTCTGTGCTGTTTTCACCATTCATTCGCTATGGGGTAACACTTCTGTGTAACAGCTATGTAGATTTAGTGGCCCAGATTCTTTATACCTTAGTAGAAAGTAGTGTCTCCTCTCTTCTGCAGCAGGATCTTCTTCAAGGTCCTTTGTTATAGATGTTATAAGCAGAGTGGGAAGGGTCTGTTTTAAAAAATACGTTGTCACATGCCTTGCGCCAAATCCTTTAGTGAACAACTATACTCTGAAATGAGTCTGTTTGCAAACCAGCTATTACTTACCGTGGAATCTGCCACGTACTTTCCAGTCATTATGATGCTTCTCCTCAGAAGAGCCTTGTGACGGGGGTTTCACATGGGCTATAAAGGCATAGAGAGCATTCAAGGCTATACAATGAGGTAGGGATGCCAGCCTCCAGGTGGGACCCAGGATTCCCTTAGAATTACAGCTCATCTCCAGACGACAGAGATCAGTTCCCCTGAAGAAAACGGATGCTTTGGAAAGTGGACTCTATGGCCTCGTGCCCCACTGAGGTCCCTGTCCTCCCCAGGCTCCATCCTTAAACCTCCGGGAATTTCCAAATCTCAAGCAGGCAACCCTAGCCCCCCACCAGTGTCCAGGGGGAACCTGGCAACCCTACAATGAGGCCGTGTGGGAGATGGTGAGTTTTCATCCCAGGTTTTCCAAACCCAGTTCTGCAACCCATAGGCAACACTGGTTTTCAAAGGACAAGGGTGTTTGCAGGCTGAGAGACATGTTACAAATCTGAGGTGTTGAATATGTAGCCACCCCAAGGTCTTTGGGTCAGACTTGCGCCTGGAGTTCTGTGCTGGGAACTCAGTTCAAATCAGGACTGTGGCATATGAGGCAATGAGGCATCAACTTTGGGAGCTGCTACATGCCTCATTGGGGAAACTTACATGTAGGGGAAAGGGGAAAAGGTGCAGGGTGAAAGTATTTATTAGAGCTTTATAGATCCCTACGCTTTCCGCAGTAAAGCTTCTTCAGGGGATTTTCTACAGGGTTTTCAAATTCCACCTTGAGCAATGAGGTGGAATTTGAAGAACCCTGTAGAAGACGCCCTGAAGAACCTTTACTGCAAAACACATAGGGATCGATAAAGCTCTAATAAATACTTTCACCTTGCACCTGCTTTTTTCTTTTTCCCTCATGCCTACTGGTGTGGACGTTTATTTCTCCAGAAGGTTACATGTACCCATCAGTAAAACATGCTTCCTCGAGGTGCCCAGTGTGGGAGGAAGCTGAAGGCCCTTCTCCTGACATTCCACGGTCCTGATCAGAATCTTGCCTGTGTGCACCTGGGAAATAAGTTCCCAGCAGGAAACTCCCAGAACACATCTGTACAAAAGGACAGATTGGAGACACATGAACGGGCCCTTATTTTGCCTCAGGGTGAAGGTTTGATGTGATAGCTCATGTTCCTTTTCTGTCTGTGTGGTTTTAAATCCTCTTTGCTTTTGATTTCCTGAGATGCTCTTTTCTTTCTTGAAACAGTTGTGACAGGTGAAACACGCTATTATGGGCAGCAGTCAGCTGTGGCCTCTGAGCCTGACCAAGGTATGCGGTAGCAGTCAGATTGTTATAAACTCAAATGTAGAATTAGGGCTATACATGATGTTTGCCACTTTTGATTTTTTTTAGCATCACTATTTCCGCCCACTGTTCTTTCT